GGGGGGGGGGGGGGGGAGGGACAACTAAAGCTAAACAAAAAGACAGATGAATTTCAGAAAAGAAAAGTGGACAGCTAAAGCGGCGGATGTGTCGAAGTTAACTCTTACTGCATTTTCAACGACAACAACTAGAGCAAATAAGGAGTTTCACTCTTGGCCATATCAACAATGTCGACAAAGTCCGGGTCCGGTGATCTATTTTGTTATATGGCCATCGACAGCGGTAACCATGTAAGATATGAGAATCCTTTAAGTGTTGAGTTCTCATTAATAACGAAGATGTTAAGTTTTAACTTCCCATGTGAAATTTATGCTAGATTTGCCTTAATGTCGGATTGATTTAATCTTAAGACACCTAAATATCTCACTGGATGCTATGGTATCCGACTCTAAGACGAAGAACTTCTTCACGAATAGAGCTAAATAGCAAGACAAAATGATTCACACCAAAAAAGTATTGTTAAGTAAAACCTCGCCCTAATGGAATGTTTCAATTGATCTGTACCTTTGGGGTAATACTTAGGGTGATTAATAAGTTAAAGAAGGATATGGTAAGACGTATTCAAATTATTCAATGGTCGTATTTTAAGTTTTTAATCCAAGCAAGTTGTAAGATAAAAGTCAGCAAAAGTTATCGCAAGTTACATTCATAATCATTCATAAATTAATGTCTTAGAGCTTTTCTCCCAATATAGAGAAGATGGTCTAAAACCTCCTCAACCTATACCCGAAATCTCAACTACACACTTATTCATTACGAGAGTCCTATTACCCCCTTACACTATTTTAAAGTAGAATTATTTGCTCCCTAAATGATGAAGTGGCAAAGAAAGTGTAGTTCACTCTCTCAAAGAGAGTGAGAGCTAAAAATAATAATTAAAACTTTAATTTTAAAAGTATTTCTTAAATTTCATATTATAATATTTTTATTCTTCAATTTTTTTTATGTTTTCTTTAATTTCTTTAATCGTCTTTCTTCTTCTCTTCATCAAAGAAACATCGGCAGTTTTTTATTGACTTTGTTCTTCTCTTCGTCAAAGCAACATCGGCGGCGGCTCTACTCCACCACCAGGTCACCGCCCTCACCAACCTTTCATCATTAAGTTAACTTTTGTTCTCAAATCACAAATTTCTCACAGTAAATTTACTTCTCATCAGTGTGAAAAAATGATAATAACTCAAAATCAAAATCAAAAGTCATCGGCGGTGGCTCTGCTCCACCACCAGGTCGCCGCCCTCACTAACCCCTCATCATTAAGGTAACTTTCATTCTCAAATCACAAATTTCTCACAATATATTCACTTCTCATTAATGTGAAATATTGACAATAACTCAAAATCAAAATCGAAAGTCAAGAGGATCGAACTTTAGAGTCATTAATGGAGAAAAATTCATCAAGTAGCACATCCATCAATGGAGTATAATTCATCAATGAAATCATTGGGTGACAAACCCATTATTGGAAAAGACCCAATAAGCGAAATAGGTTGCTCAACATTGTTAAATTCTTGCTTCAATAGAGAGCATCAAAATTTTTCTAGTGTTCATAACTCCGGTGAAGCTCGAAGAAGATGGTGCCAATAATAGAATGTATCCTCAAATCTGGAAAATCAATTGGTCAAGATCAAAATAAAAGAGGAATGGAAAAGGAAAGTGAAAGAGGGAAATTTAGATGAAAAATAATTGCAGAATAAATGATTTTTCTTTAAAAAAAAGCTAATATTATGTGGCAGGGCGCATGCAATTCACTTTTTTATATAAATCTGGGCGTGAGTTTTTAAGGGGTGTATATTATACTTTTAAAATGTTTAGGGGTAATATGACCCCGTAAAAAATAAGTGTGTAGTTGAGAATTGGGTAATAGATTGGGGCGTTTTAGACAATTTTCTCCCCAATATATAAAGAGTTGGAGGGCCTATAACCTATCAAATCAAAGGTATACGAGTCTAATTTCCAATGCATTAAACCGTTTGCCTATACAATTTCAGAATAGAGATATTTACATTTTCATTAGAATGCGCAACCAAGGGAAAGTGGGCCCCCAAGGTTGGTGGAAAAGTGTGTATATATTATATATATATATATCTTTAATTTTCTCTTTTGTCTTTGTGATAACTACAGATAAGCGAGATATTCAACCTTTAAATCATCCATATATATATTTATGATCTTGTCTTGGGTCTTTAACGGAAATTGCTCTACGTCTCGCGCTCTTTGTTTTGGTATATTTTTTCTCTGTGGATTGTGCGGTGTAGCTCTGTGGAAGTTGTGTCAGTAGGGATCTGGCTGTGTTTTGAGTTCTTGAAAGTTCTTTGGGTGTCTGCAGCGAGTATCATAAGGTGCGGGCAGAAGTAATATGACAGAGTAAATTCGATGAAAAAAGGTATGTTAAAGCTTAACTTTTTTCGGCAAGTTTCTTTGTCGTATAGGTAATGCGACTTGTTCTTTATCACCATAGTACTCATAGTCATAATAGTTGTTGATGGAGTTGGTTGCTAGAGTTATATATATGTATACATGTGAGCTTTCCTTATTGGGATTATTCTTGTTTAGTTGGTGATACATGTTAAAAAGCGACGTAAGAATCTTCTTGGATAAATTGTCATTGCTTAGATGGGGTATTGATAGCTCATTACGTTGTTGATGCCTTAATGGCTTTGTAATTAGCTGCATATCACTCCTTGTTGATATTCACATCATTACAATTAGTTTGACATAAAACTTATGTGATTGCAATACCTATGAACTTGAGGGCAAAACATGAAAAACGAATCAGAACTCCGCATTAGTCATTTGTTCGGCAAAAGGGTCGGCCAGAAATTGATGAGCTTCTTATTCCACATTCTCTCCAGCATTCCTTCTAACGTAGGCTCTTCGAGGAGCCATATCCCGAAAAGCATCGGGTAAGGATTATGAGAGAGACATACAGAGTTATACTCTATCGCCCGACTTTAGAATAAAGAAAGAAGTGGAATTTCCTAAACATCTTATAGGCTATTACCTCCTATTCATAAATATGGTGCGCTTCACACTCATGAACAAACTCTACTTGACGTGGCTTGTGAGCCATCCTAGGACCTTTCTAAACCTTGTGCTCTGAATACCAAGTTTGTCACGACCCAAAGTATACCCTAGGTGTAATACAGCGTATAGAACCCCGAGAGGCCCTATGCTAGTCACTTACCATGTATCATACTAGATAATAGAAATAAAGATTTCAAAGAAATATTCTCATATCATAAATTTTTTTGACAAAGCGGAAGTCTAACATAGTTTCAACAAGCCATCTAATACATCAAAAGAAGTGGTTGGGATATAACCCATACGCCACGTACAATGTCTGAAAACTGAAATAAAGAAAAGCTATAAAAGTGTCTTGGTCCTCGGAACATGATGACTCACCAATCTTCAAATCGACAAGAGAGATCAACTAGCCACAAGTATGCGAGGTAGGAGCATCGGACCCTACATTAGGGAAACAATATAGGCACAAGTATACATTAGTACATGGAATATACTAAGTATGATAACAATGCACAAACAATATGAAATCATGCTAAAAAGACTTTACATGATATGCAATAGCCAAGATAAAGCATAAGATACGGTGTTAGAAACACAAGTCATAATCATGGTCAATGCAAGGTTAACATATTTAAAACACTTGGTGAGATACTTTGAAAATAATCTAGTTCATTATTGTGGGATGTTTTCCATTAACCGATATGGAACATGTGCTCTAAAACATGAAATCCGGTGTCTATTTCGAGATGTCCTACTTGCTAAGTAAGGACCATAAACTTCTAGTTTACGTGGATCCACTAGCTAAGAAATCCTACGGGGGCACGTAGTTAGGGACAAGGAGATTGCTACTAGAGACCCGACCTCTACTAATTGGAGAGCCTCCATCTCAATATCCTCTCGGTGCTAAGTAAAATCCCACAGAATAGTCATTAATCATATTCATCATCCATGGAAAGGCACGTTTAAGCTACCAATCCAAGCTAAAGTCATTTAGAATAGCTCCTTAAATCTTAGTTCAAGTTAGGTGAGAAAACCTTTCAACCTTATGTAAGAAAACCTTTTACAATCATGATCATAGTAGCATGTGAGAAAACTTTTCACAATCTTATTGATACTTTCATCTAAAGCATCCTCAAGTCATACATTAATTTCACAAAAACATGCATATCTTCATATATTCATATTGCATAGTTCATAAGTTTCATCATGTGTTCATAGTAAAAATCATGGATGCATGAGTTCATATGAATTCAACTCAAAATCATGTAAATACTTCAATTCATGCATTAGAAGCTAGGAAATAACTAATTGAATCATAATTGAGAAGAATTCATGGAATTTGAATAAAATCCTAACTTTGAATTGAAAATTTAGCTTGTAGAATTGGGACCTTTGGGAACCCAATGGAGGAAAAGACTCCATAGGTGAATAGTAACATATCTTGATGATCAAGGCCCAAATTTTATGGTGAATTGGAGACCTTGAAGTGAAACCCTAGCTTTTTCTTTCTTTGCTTGAGAGAGAGGAATTTGGGGGAAGAACTTGAAGGGAATTTGAGATTTTAGGAGAATGATTTTAGAATGGGTAGTTTTAGGAATTAAAATACTTATATAGGTCTTAGAATAGGGGTCAAAACAACATAGCTTAGGTATTAGACGCATAGGAAAATACTAGAATAGCCCTGACTTAAAAGCTAACGGGACCCCTGTACGGAGGCCTTCACGGACCGGTTATCACTTCACGGTCCATGAAGGTGATTGTGAACAAGAGAGAAAAAATGGGATTTTATTGCCAATCACCACGGCCCTATCAACTGGACATTTACCCTTCCACAGACCGTTCAGGCGTCCGTGAGGGATCAAGTTCTCCTGAGCCTTGGGGAGTAGGGTTCACGGATGGGTTGGCAGGTCGTGGACCACTTCACTGTCCATGAACCTGCCCGTTAAAACCATGACACTTTCCAAACCACACTTGCCAAATTCTAAGGTGTTACAGGTCAGTACACTCATCTAATTCTTGACTTCCTTACCTGATTACTTTTGGTACATTATGATACCTGCTCAGTTATTCTATTGCCTTTTATACTCGATATATCAATTCATAATGACGCCTCATACCTGGGGCAGGGGTGCTGCATTTTTGCCTGCAGATCCTGACAGACAGCTAAACAAGCCTCCTCAATAGTGTAGCTGAGTTCCAGAAGATTGGTCAGCTCTATTTCTTCTAGAGTTGCCAAATTTAAAGGTTTGCTAGTGTTTTGTCATATTCAACTAATAGGTAGGTCGGGACAGGAAGTATAAGGGTCCCGACCAAGTATATTACTCTTAGAGGCTTGCAAACTTTCGATTGAATAGATGTGTGTTGTTGGCTATGCTGGCCTTGTTGTTTTGCCCTTTTAGCTTAGTGGCTTGTTGGCCTTAATCATATATGACTATATGTGTTCAGTTTATATGTTTCTAGATATAACAGTGACCTTGACGGGCAATAAATGATTTAGTTTCTATTCTATATGAATTGCTGGGAGTAGTTGAGTTTATTGAAGATTATGTTGACAGGGTCCTTGCCGATAGAGGCCTTATTTTTAAGTTGAAATATACTTGTTTGTTTTTTTGATTTTGTGGCTGGTGTTATGTTGGTAGCGTAGTTGTCCAGCAAGGATCGACTCAGGGTCAAGTGTCGCACCAGGTGCTAGTTGCATCCCTAAGTTGGGGTGTAACATGTTACCATCCTCAAAATAGTTTCCAAGAAGCGAGTAAAGTGTCAAAAACCCCCGAGATAGTCCTCTAATATTTCCTCCCCAAAAGATTGAACCTTGTTTGAGATTGATACCACTTTTGATAAGAAAATATTTGGAGGATTTGTCAAGTTAATTTCACCATCTGTATTTTGTTATTACTCTGGTTGTACTCATGAAGATTTGTATATTTTGTATGGATAGTCTATTGTGATAGTTGATTGAGTAGCCTGCTTGTTGTTCTTGTTGCTAGTTCCTGCCTTTTTTTTAAAATATCACCCGGGAACTTGTTGCTTATCAATGTTCAATAATTTCTTTGCTTCATATAGTAGATATTGATAATGAACACATAATTAGCTAAAAAATCCGCAACTTGGTTGAATCAGTCTCTATTATAAGAGGTTGTATTGATGGCTCACAGAATATTCCAACTCCTTTTCTATTGCTTTAGCCTCAGCACATAGGCTAGTAGTGTTAATCATGATTCATGACATTAGTAGTAGCATAAATTAACTCTCCCATAATATCTCTGATACAAAAAGGTCCACGATCTGGGGTCTGGATTTTCATTAGAGGAGCCATCAATATTGCATTTCTACATTCAGTGCGAGGACAGTTCCAGCTAATAGGTTTGCAACACTTGGGATAGTTTTTCATACTATCCTTTTTTGTTTTCACCCAATGTCCGGTACATGCATTGAGGTTTAACTAAATTCAGATTCGCGGTGAGAAGTCCCACATTTATTATGAAGTATATTCATATGCAGAGGCAATTCAATAACATTGATAGTATGAAAAACTTTTTTTTAGTATTTTGAGATGAAAGTTCTTCTTGAAGTTGATTATCATCTCCTCAACTACAATAAGGACTTATTCATTTAAAAAACACTCTCCTATATCTTTCGATTATTTTTTTTCCAATCAATTATGCCTTCAAGTTGTGCCCCCTTTTCGAAAATGGACGATCCCATTCAACTTAACTAAAAGAACTAGACTTCCTACAAGATTATCCCCATGTATCATGAGAAGGATTTATATCTGAAAGAAGGCATTTGCAGTTCATCAAACCTGTAAGTTCCAAAAGCTTCCTTAGGGAGTTCTGAAGAGTTAAAAAAAGAAGAAGATATGATTCTAACCTCCATGCGGATATCATGATTACTTTCCTAAAGCATTGTTAGACCTTAATGCTCAGTGTGCTTAAAATCTGTCTAATCTCCCGAATGATATATACATAAACTGTAATTGCCAAGACACTTAGCTCTTGCCTCGCGACATCTCAATTATGAACAAGGAATTACATTCTAAGGTAAAGCTTACAAGCCCTTGTGTTTGACACCACTTAAACCAGCTGAGGCTATTGAGACTTTCTCATTCTGTTAAAAAAATACAACTACATTTATCCATGTAAGGCTAAACATTCTGTTTTCTCAAAATATGGTGTCTCTGAAGCTTTGAAGAATGTTGCAGACCTCCTTCATTGACGGCCTACCGTATGGTGTTGCTCCAGTACACATCAGTCCTAGTTTAAAAACACCTCTCATTTGTTCCACATTACTTGTTTCCATGATTTCTTCATCAAGGGCCTCAACAATGAAATTTCCATCTCTGTAACGCTGTTGAGCCCATTGTGCCAGATTCATTTGCTCCTCCCTGAGAATGGGTTGTCTCCCTGTTGTTAATTCTAATAGCACCACTCCGAAGCTATATATATCTGTCTTTATATTCACTCTGAATGTCGAGGCATACTCTGTGAGGACCAAACATTAAAATTTAATATTAGAGTTGGATAAATTCTTTTGAGAATTCACGAGGTACGATATATATTTGAACGGTAATAGACCTGGTGCAATGTAACCAAATGTTCCAGCAATAGCAGAAGCTGTCTCAGGATTATCATCCCGCCTGGATAGTATTTTTGCTAGTCCAAAATCTGCTATTTTTGCATTGAATTCTGAGTCCAGAAGTATATTGCTGGACTTAATGTCTCTATGAATGATGGGTCGAGTACAGTCGTGGTGCATATAGCTGAGTCCTTGAGCTGCACCAGTGGCTATTTTTAATCTCTTTTGCCAATCCAGGGATGGGGTACTACTTTGACCGGGTGACGCTTCTCTTTTCTTTCTGTGAAGCCACTTGTCGAGGCTTTGTTTCTCAAAGTATTCATAGACTAGAAGCTTTCTGTCTACACTTGAGATGCAACACATGAGCTTGACAATGTTGTTGTGTCGAATGCTACCAAGTGTTCTAACTTCTGCCAGGAACTCCTTTTGGGGTCTTTCACCTGATTTTTTTCCATGCCCTATGCTTTTAACAGCGTAAGTATTGCCTGTTTGGTCGATCACAACTCGATAGACCTTCCCTGATCCTCCATTTCCTATTATGTTTTCGTCTTTCAAGCTAGATAAAATGTCTTCTGTAGTCACCTTCAACTTTTGAAATGAAATGAACTTCATGTCATCTTTGACATTCTGCTTCTTTGTTTTCCACCAATGCTTTCTTGTTCTGTAAAAGATCCATGATAACTGTGTAGCTACCCCAACTCCTACAATAGGAATAATCAAGTGTTTTGGTTTCGAAGATTTTCGAACCTCATCACCAGAGGAGCAGCTTGGTAGGCCGGGGATGTATAAGTTGTTGGATGTAGAACAAAGATTGGACTCGTCAAAGCAATTCTCTTCGTATGTCAACTTTACAAATTCAGTAGAAATTCTTCCTGAGAATTTGTTGGAACAAAGCCTTAAAGTATTTCTAGGCCTAAGACGTTCTATACTTTTTGAAATGTCTCCTGATAACTGATTAAAAGACAAATCCATAGAATCCAGTCCAGGTAAATCCCTAAATCGCTTTGGTATAGAACCAGTCAATTGGTTGTGTGAAAGATCCATATCATACAAACTAAACAAGTCCATTTCATCAGGTATCACACTGGACAAGTAGTTGGAACTTAGCGACAGGTGACGCAAATCATGCAACTGAAACAACTTGCTTGTAATTGAACCACTGAGAGAATTATGTGACAGATCCAATTTCAAAAGATTTTTGAAGTTTCCAATATCTTCTGGTATCGAACCGTTCAAGTGATTCTCAGAAAGATCAAGATTTTCCAGTTGAGATGATATTTGTTTTGGCATCTCACCAGACAACATGTTACCATTAAGATACAAATTGAGTAATTGTTTCATCCCAAACAACTCGCCTGGAATCTGTCCGCTCAAAGAATTCTTGGACAAGTCCAAATGTTGTAACATTGAGCAATCTTTCATGCTTAGTGGTATAGTTCCTGAAATGTTGTTGTTGGAGAGATCAATGAAGGTAAGGTTGTTAAGCTCACATATTATTGTTGATGGAACTGTTCCAGTAATGTTCTTTTCTCCAAGATTTAGTTGTGTCACTACCCGGTCATCGAGGCATGAAACTCCTGACCAAGTGCATACTGAAGAATTCAAATTCCATGACTGGAGGAACTCCGAATCCCTCCAGTGTTGTTTCAAGCTTAGTAATATGGACTGTTCCGTGCCCGAAAATTGTAAGGTTTCTTGAAAAAACAGGCTAATTAGGAAGAAAATTTGCATATTAAGCAAAAAATGGTTAGAGCTTGCTGGGAACATGTTAATTGATGCTTCCCTTGTGCTTCTTTTCATTTGATAATGAAGTCTGTGAAGTCAGTGTGGATTTAATAAAGAAATCATATTTCAACAATTAAATAGTCATCCAGAGCCAAGTATTTGGCTTTGAAAAATCAAGCCATAATAATTGTCTCCTTCTGACTAAGTCAAGCTAGTAATTTACTCCCTCCCTTCCTTTGTACTTACCCACGATGACTTGATACCCTCATTATGAAATATGTGAAGTCATGTGAGAAAGAAAAAGAGACTGTGAAAATGAATTTGTAGGTGCACTTTCTTGTGCTTGCACAAAAATTGTAGTGGGATGATGGATTTGGTCTCTTTATATAGTTTCGGACAATTCTTAGCTTGTTTTTACAGTTGAGTTAGGTTCAAAAGCTATTTCTTATTAATATTATGTTGAATTTGAGCTAATTGAGTTTTCCCATTTTAATAATTCAAATAAATAATTGGCAGTTCTTTAGATTACAAACAAAAACATGTTGATTATGTTATTGATAATCGTTTTCTGGAAAATGCAAAAATCTTCTTGCTTTGCTGGTTTTTTCTTGGCCAGAAAGGTCAGTCAAGTCAACTTTGCTAGCATTTTCCTTTCATAGTCAGCAACAATTTTTGTCCATGTTGACTGACTTGTGTTGTATGATACACGGTTTCTTCAAAGCTAATTAACTATCCAATCAAAACACTTGAAAAAAATAAAACAAGAGATTGTAGAGAATGAGGTAGCTAGTACAATCGAACCAAAGGAACCATGAAAACTAACCATGTTCATGTTGTAAAATCTACATTTTCAATTCCCAGGAAACAAGTTTACCATTTCATTGTTTCCTTACTTGCCTTTATGCATTTCCAGGGTGGTTTACAGAGTGACGTCTACGAAAATGAGAAGAGCATTTTGTTGGAGCTGAAGCAACTATGGGGATTTCATCAATTATTGGATTCCAGTTCCTCACACTGCAGTTGGTATGCTATAGGCTGCAGAAATGGTTCTGTTACCAGCATCTCTATTCATGAAAGAAATCTACTTCCCGTGTTAGAGTGGGTAAAAGTCCCACATTGGTTGGGAATAGGCAGGTTGTCTGAAGAATTAAAAAAAGATATGGGTCTAACCTCCATTACTCATTTAGCTAAAGCATCTGCATCATGATTATCCTTCCTAAAGCATTGTTAGACCTTAATGCTCAGTGTGCTTAAAATCTGTCTAATCTCCCGAATGATATATACAAACACTGTAATTGCCAAGACACTTAGCTCTTGCCTCGCTACATCTCAATTATGAACAAGGAGTAACATTCTAAGGTAAAGCTTACAAGCCCTTGTGTTTGACACCACTTAAACCAGCTGAGGCTATTGAGACTTTCTCATTCTGTTAAAAAAATACAACTACATTTATCCATGTAAGGCTAAACATTCTGTTTTCTCAAAATATGGTGTCTCTGAAGCTTTGAAGAATGTTGCAGACCTCCTTCATTGACGGCCTACCGTATGGTGTTGCTCCAGTACACATCAGTCCTAGTTTAAAAACACCTCTCATTTGTTCCACATTACTTGTTTCCATGATTTCTTCATCAAGGGCCTCAACAATGAAATTCCCATCTCTGTAACGCTGTTGAGCCCATTGTGCTAGATTCATTTGCTCTTCTCTGAGAATGGGTTGTCTCCCTGTTGTTAATTCTAATAGAACCACTCCGAAGCTATATATATCTGTCTTTATATTCACTCTGAATGTCGAGGCATACTCTGTGAGGACCCGACATTAAAAAATATTAGAGTTGGATAAATTCTTTTGAGAATTCACGAGGTACGATATATATTTGAACTGTAATATACCTGGTGCAATGTAACCAAATGTTCCAGCAATAGCAGAAGCTGTCTCAGGATCATCATCCCTCCGGGATAGTATTTTTGCTAGTCCAAAATCTGCTATTTTTGCATTGAATTCTGAGTCCAGAAGTATATTGCTGGACTTAATGTCTCTATGAATGATGGGTCGAGTACAGTCGTGGTGCATATAGCTGAGTCCTTGAGCTGCACCAGTGGCTATTTTTAATCTCTTTTGCCAATCCAGGGTCGGGGTACTACTTTGACCGGGTGACGCTGCTCTTTTCTTTCTGTGAAGCCACTTGTCTAGGCTTTGTTTCTCAAAGTATTCATAGACTAGAAGCTTTCTGTCTAAACTTGAGATGCAACACATGAGCTTGACAATGTTGTTGTGTCGAATGCTACCAAGTGTTCTAACTTCTGCCAGGAACTCCTTTTGGGGTCTTCCACCTGATTTTTCTCCATGCCCTATGCTTTTAACAGCATAAGTATTGCCTGTTTGGTCTATCACAACTCGATAGACCTTCCCTGATCCTCCATTTCCTATTATGTTTTCGTCTTTCAAGCTAGATAATATGTCTTCTGTAGTCACCTTCAACTTTTGAAATGAAATGAACTTTATGTTATCTTTGACATTCTGCATCTTTGTTTTCCACCAATGCTTTCTGGTTCTGTGAAAGATCCATAATAACAGTATAGCTACCCCAACTCCTACAATAGGAATAATCAAGTGTTGTGATCTCGAAATTTTTTGAACCTCATCACCAGAGAGAAAGCTTGGTAGCCCAGGGATAGATAAGCTATTGGATGTAGAAGAAAGATTGGACTCATCAAAGCAATTCTCTTCATATGTTAGCTTAACAAATTCAGAAGAAATTCTTCCTGAGAATTTGTTGGAACAAAGCCTTAAACTAATTCTAGGCCTAAGATGTTTTATACTTTCTGAAATGTTTCCTGATAACTGATTATACGACAAATCCAAAGCATCCAGTCCAGTTGAACTTGCAAGTCCCTTTGGAATAGAACCAGTCAATTGGTTATGAGAAAGATCCATATCATACAAACTAAACAAGTTCATTGCATTAGGTAATACACCAGATAAGTAGTTGTAACTTAGCGACAAGTGACTCAATTGGTTCAATTGAAACAACTTGCTTGTAATAGAACCACTTAGAGAATTATGTGACAGATCCAATTTCACAAGATTTTTCAAGTTACCAATAGCTTCTGGAATCGAACCGTTCAAGTGGTTCTCAGAAAGATCAAGATTTTTCAGTTGGGATGCTGATATTTGCTTTGGCATTTCACCGGACAACATGTTACCATTAAGATACAAATTGACTAGTGTTTTCATCCCAAACAACAACACCTGGAATCCGGCCGCTCAAAGAATTATTGAACAAGTCCAAATGTTGTAACATTGAGCAATCTTTCAGGCTTAGTGGTATAGTTCCTGATATGTTGTTGTTGGAGAGATCAATGAAGGTAAGGTTGTTGAGCTGACATATTATTGTTGATGGAATTGTTCCAGTAATGTTCTTTTCTCCAAGATTTAATTGTGTCTCTACCATGTCATTGATGCATGAAACTCCTAACCAATTGCATTCTGAAGAATTCAAATTCCACGACTGGAAAAACTCCGAATCCCTCCAGTGTTGTTTCAAGCTTAGTAATGTGGACCGTTCCGTGCCTGAAAATTGTAAGGTTTCTTGGAAAGACAGGCTAATTAGGAAGAAGATTTGCATATTGAGCCAAAAAAGTTTAGAGCTTGCTTGGATCATGTTAATTTGATGCTTTCCTTGTGTTTCTTTTCATTTGATAATGAAGTCTGTCAAGTCAACTCTTATTCCAACAATAAAATAGTCATTTAGAGCCAACTATTTGGCTTTGAAGAATCAAACCATAATAATTGGCTAGTTGTCTCCTTTTGACCAAGTCAAGCTACTAATTTACTCCCTCCCCCTTTTAACTTATCCACCATGACTTGATACTCTCCTTTAACAAAATATTTACTTAGAAGTCTGTTTTACTATATTAACCTTATTAATTATGCTTTCGAAATTTGTAATTTGTGTTATTACTTATAGATAGGAAGTGATATTCAAAGAAAATAATTAATCTCCTATTTTCAGAACCCCAACCCTCAATATGAAAAAAATAAATGATAAAACACAAGATAAATGTGAAGTCATGTGTGAAAGAAAAATAGAATATGTGAAAATGATTTTGTATTCATTGGGGGTGGGTACTGGATTAGGATGTGTACCAATTTTAAAGTATTATATTTGCTCATCTGATCTGTTAGCAAAAAATTTAAGAATAAAAGGTTGCACCTTGTGTGGGTTAATACTAGTGTGTGCACAACTGTTTCACACTGTACTAAGGATTTTGTCTCTTTATATGGTTTTAGATAATTCTCATGAACTTATTTTTGGAATTGAGTTACGTGTAAATCTATTTCTTATTAGTATTATTAATGAAGTAAATATGAAAAATTATATTTATGATAATTATGTATGTGATTGTAATTTAATTAGGAAAAGAATAATGGTAGGCTTATTTGGACAAGGAAAGGGAAGCCCTAGAGCGACTACAAATTTTGTGTAACAATATGATGTTGTAAATATCGAATAACATAAAAGAAAGAGGAAATTTCTTCCATAGGTTGTTTCTTGTTCTTCATTATTTTTGTATCTTTATTTTAACATGATATCAGAACAAGGATAAGTGAGTGACAAAAACTTTAAAAAAAGAAGAAACAATAATGTGGTTTATTTGCTAAAAAATCCGGGCATAAAGCTGGAAAATACTACCAACTTGTAGGTGCAATGGATCAAAATGGTATATTTATTACGGTGGGAAATGCTTTGATAATATGACCCCGCAAACTTTAGGTATCTACTCTAAAATAAAATGTAAGTTAGGGGGGACTTCATCATGTATTTTCTCTCTTATCTTCTATTATATTTGATCATCTGATTTCTTTGCTGTTTTTTCTTGGCCACAGTCCACAGACGTCAGTGAAGTCAATTTTTGTTTCTTATCTTTTTAAAATTTAACAAGTCAAACTTTGTTAGCATTATACAAATTTTCGTCCATGTTGACTGACTTGTGTTGTATAATACACGGTTTCTTCAAAGCTAATTCATGATCCACAAAATAAAGAGGACAATCAAACCAAAGGAGCCATGAAAATCAACCATATTCATGTTGTAAAATCTACATTCTCAATTCCCAGGAAACAAGTTTACCTTTTCATTGTCTCCTTACTTGCCTTTATGCATTTCCAGGGCGGTTTACAGAGTGACGTCTACGAAAAGGAGAAGAACATTTTGTTGGAGCTGAAGCAACTATGGGGATTGCATCAATTATGGGATTCCGATTCCGATTCCTCACACTGCAGTTGGTATGGTATAGGCTGCAGAAATGGTTCTGTTACAAGCATCTCGATTCATGAAGGGAATCTACTTTCCGGAACAATTTCACTAATCATATGTGAACTCAAAAGCCTGCAATTGATAGACCTGAGTAGCAACTATATCAGAGGAGAATTTCCTACCTCCTTGTACAATTGCTCAAAGCTGGAATATCTTGATATTTCTTGGAATCAATTCCATGGACCACTGCCTAGTGACCTTCATCGTTTGTCGAGGCTAATCCATTTAGATATTGCTGGAAATAACTTCAGTAATATCCCAGAAGCCATAGGTCAGCTTTCTGAATTGCAATATCTATCTCTTAAGTTCAATAATTTCAACACTTGGATATCCCGAGAAATTGGAAATTTATCAAAGCTTGAGACCTTGGATATATCCTATATTGACAGCTTTAAGCAGGCAACAATCCCAGAGGAATTAAGAAGACTGAAGAAGTTGACAGCCCTTTTCATTGTACGGTCAAATTTGAAAGGGGAGATTCCAGAAACATTTTCCGCTCTTTCAGGTCTCGAAGTCTTGGATCTCTCAATGAATTACTTAAAGGGGTCTATCCCAAGTTACTTGTTTGAATGGAAGAAGTTGACGAATCTTCATTTGGAGTTTAACCAATTTTCCGGTAGGTTACCAATGTTGGATGCAAATATGGAATTGATGGGGAGAACTCAAGAAATGTTTTCTAATCTTTCTGGTCTCCAAGTCTTAGATCTCTCAGGAAATCACCTAAATGGTTCAATTCCAAGCTACTTATTTCATTGGAAGAATTTAACATCTCTTCTTTTGGGGGATAACCAATTTTCTGGGAATTTACCTAGTATAACTGGAAATTTGAGATTAAGAACATTGGATCTTTCATCGAATCAGCTTTCTGGACATATTCCACAAGAGTATGACAAGAATGAATACTACTTTAGAAATAATCTGAATCTATGTAGCAAATATACCAACCATTACATCCAAGTTCCACGTTGAAGTGGAAAAACAAGAGTTGTAATTGCCGTTGTGGCCCCTGTTGCATTTTTAGTCATGATAACATTATTATGTTACACATTTAAAAAGAATTGGACTTTCTCCACAGACCAACTCATGTGGAGGAAGAGGCATGAGAACCAAGATCCTGAGTGGATGTTCATTTCTTTCCAGCAGTTAGGATTCACAGAATTTGAAATTCAGGTGAATATGACAGAAGAAAATTTGATTTGAAGTGGAGGATATGGGAAGGTCTATCGAGTTGGTGTCAATCCTAATGGGAACTTTGTGGCAGTTAAGAGAATATGGAACAAGAGGAATTTAGACCACGGGCTTGAGAAACAGTTCCTTGCAGAAGTTGAAGTATTGGGTAGCATTCGACATTCTAATATTGTGAAGTTGTTATGTTGCATTTCTAGAGGAAACTCAAAGGTTTTGGTGTACGAGTACATGGAAAATCAAAGCTTAGACAAGTGGTTGCATCACAAGAGAAGAAGTGAAAAAGATATTACTGCCTCAGCACATTGTGTATTGGAATGGCATACTAGACTGCAAATTGCAATTGGTGCTGCCCGAGGTCTATGTTACATGCATCACGAGTGCTCTACGCCAATCATTCATCGTGACATTAAGTGCAGTAATATCCTTTTAGACCATGAACTGAATGCCAAAATTGCAGATTTTGGACTAGCTAAGATTTTGGCCAAGTGGGGAGAGACAGAGACTGCTTCTGCTATCGCTGGCACGTTTGGCTACCTAGCTCCAGGTATATTTCACTGTTCTCATAATGAAATAAACAAAAACACACCAGAGTGTACGTATGTATCGTGTTTCTCATTGATTTTATCCTAATACCTTGTTATTCTAATTGGAATTTCAGAGTATGCATACACGTCGAAAGTGAATGCCAAGATTGATGTCTACAGTTTTGGTGTGGTGTTATTGGAGCTGGTTACCGGGAGAGAACCAATTAACGGAGACGAGCATATAAACCTTGCACAAAGGGCATGGAACCACCATGAAGAAGGCAATCCAGTGGTTGATGCTATTGATGAAGAAATCAAGGAAGCATGTTTCTTGAACGAAATGAGTTCCATGTTCAAGTTGGGGATTATTTGCACCAGTACTGTACCTTCTGCTAGACCTTCCATGAAGGAAGTTCTGCAAATTCTATTACTTAGCCTTAATACTTCTTCCTAGCAATTGGCTGCGAATCCAGGATTATCGTTGCTTCTTTATTTGCACTGAAAAATTAAAAGTCCAAATACTTATTCTACCTTCTTTTCTAGTGAGGTGATGAATCAACTCTTTTATTTTTCTGATTTTTCTTCTCTATCCAACAGTCTAATTAACTCATAAAATGGGTCAGATTATAGATTATGGAGAATACACTTGTTAGTCCTTTTCCATAGAACAGTCAATAACGGTCTCAACAAAACGAAAAAGTTGTCCTTATCAAATTTTGTCCTAATATATACCAGGTATCTGACATCTATCTAAATGGAAAGGTCCTTTAGAACCTCTAGGAAGTTGTTGGAAGGAGAGGTATACCATTGCCTTATTGGAAGGACGTTTGCTACTTGATTTGCCTCTTTGTAGCAGTGCAGTTGTTAACGGTAGCCAATAACATTGGTTTGGTTCATCGTTTGGGAAACGTCTTCAATGATAATCTTCAGCTTGAAGTTGGCAGTCTTATCATCTTTTTTAATATGCTGGTAACCAAAAGTGAATCCAGTTTAATGGTGAAACCACTGAATCCATTTTGGATGCACCAATCAATACCAAAAAATGTTGCTTGAGCTTCTGCAGTGTTGCTGCTGCCACATTTAACATGGATTTGACATCTTGCTTGATCCTGTACCCTCATTAACCTGCCCTCCATCGGGGGCATCATATACACCCTCTCCCCTTAGGACTCGGGGCTCCTCACTTTCTTCGCCTAAGATGTCATGTTCACCTCATCTTCTGAAGCTTGTGAACCTAGAAGTCTGTTAGTCCTACTTGACCCTGCTCCATCAGGAGTATCACTGAGGGTCAGAACAATTCTAACAAACTAATTAAAACAAGTACCAAAAGAATTAACGAGTAGAAAAACTTGATCGCTTATAGGAACATTTCATTTTTCCAATCATATAAGTTAGCCTAGACCATTAATGAATATCTAATCAATGGTTTTAGCTTTTATCAATTGTGTAAAACTGTTAGAATTTTTATTTTTTATTTTTTGGGAACCCCAGGATAATCCCCAGCCGCTACAACCTCTGCCACAAGAACTAGACTTCCTACAAGATTATCATGAGAAGGATTTATGTTTGAAAGAAGGCATTTGCAGTTCATCAAACCTGTATGTTCCAAAAGCTTCCTTGGAGAGTTCTGAAGAATTAAAAAAAAGATATATATATATATATACACTGTAATTGCCACGACACTTAGCTCTTGCCTCGCGACATCTCAAGTATGAACAAGGAATCACATTCTAAGGTAAAGCTTACAAGCCCTTGTGTTTGACACCACTTAAACCAGATGAGGCTATTGATCTGTCTGAGGATAAAAAATGTCCTCTGACAGTATTACTAAAGTATACATTGCTGGAAGAAATCGTTATCAACACGACTTTCTCATTCTGTTAAAAAAAATACAACTACATTTATCTATGTAAGGCGAAACATTCTATTCTCTCAAAATATGGGGTCTCTGAGACTTTGAAGAATGTTGCAGACCTCCTTCATTGACGGCCTACTAGATGGTGATGCTCCGGTACACATTAGTCCTAGTTTAAAAACACCTCTCATTTGTTCCACATTACTTGTTTCCATGATTTCTTCATCAAGGGCAACAATGAAATTCCCATCTCTGTAACGCTGTTGAGCCCATTGTGCTAGATTCATTTGGTCCTCTCTGAGAATGGGTTGCCTCCCTGTTGTTAATTCCAATAGCACCACTCCGAAGCTATAGATATCTGTCTTTATATTCACTCTAAATGTCGAGGCATACTCTGTGAGGACCAAACATTAAAATTTAATATTGGAGTATAATTCTTTTGTGAAATTCTCGAGGTACAATAGATATTTAAACTGTAATATACCTGGTGCAATGTAACCAAATGTTCCAGCAATAGCAGAAACTGTCTCAGGATTATCATCCCTCCTGGATAGTATTTTTGCTAGTCCAAAATCTGCTATTTTTGCATTGAATTCTGAGTCCAGAAGGATATTGCTGGACTTAATGTCTCTATGAATGATGGATCGAGTACAGTCGTGGTGCATATAGCAGAGTCCTTGCGCTGCACCAGTGGCTATTTTTAATCTCTTTTGCCAATCCAGGGCCGGGGTACTACTTTGACCCGATGATACTACACTTTTCTTTCTGTGAAGCCATTTGTCGAGGCTTTGTTTCTCAAAGTATTCATAGACTAGAAGCTTTCTGTCTAAACTTGAGATGCAACAGATGAGCTTGACAATGTTGTTGTGTCGAATGCTACCAAGGGTTCTAACTTCTACCAGGAACTCCTTTTGGGGTCTTCCACCTGATTTTTCTCCATGCCCTATGCTTTTAACAGCATAAGTATTGCCTGTTTGGTCTATCACAACTCGATAGACCTTCCCTGATCCTCCATTTCCTATTATGTTTTTGTCTTTCAAGCTAGACAAAATGTCTTCTGTAGTCACCTTCAACTTCTGAAATGAAATGAACTTCATGTCATCTTTGACATTCTGCTTCTTTGTTTTCCACCAATGCTTTCTTGTTCTGTAAAAGATCCATGATAACTGTATAGCCAACCCCACTCCTACAATAGGAATAATCAAGTGTTGTGATCTCAAAAGTTTTCGGTTGTTGGATGTAGAACAAAGATTGGACTCATCAAAGCAATTCACTTCATATGTTAGCTTAACAAATTCAGAAGAAATTCTTCCTGAGAATTTGTTGGAACAAAGCCTTAAAGTATTTCTAGGCCTAAGATATTCTATACTTTTTGAAATGTCTCCTGATAACTGATTATAAGACAAATCCAGGGCATGCAGTCCAGGTAAATACTGAAATCCCTTTGGTATAGAACCAGTCAATTGGTTATGTGAAAGATCCATATCGTATAAACTAAACAAGTCCATTTCATCAGGTATCACACCGGACAAGTAGTTGGAACTTAGCGACAGGTGACGCAAATCATGCAACTGAAACAACTTGCTTGTAATTGAACCACTGAGAGAATTATGTGACAGATCCAATTTCAAAAGATTTTTGAAGTTTCCAATATCTTCTGGTATCGAACCGTTCAAGTGATTCTCAGAAAGATCAAGATTTTCCAGTTGAGATGATATTTGTTTTGGCATCTCACCAGACAACATGTTACCATTAAGATACAAACTGAGTAACTGTTTCATCCCAAACAACTCACCTGGAATCCGGTCGATCAAAGAATTATTGGACAAGTCCAAATGTTGTAACATTGAGCAATCTTTCAGGCCTACTGGAATAGTTCCTGAAATGTTGTTGTTGGAGAGATCAATGAAGTTAAGGTTCTTGAGCTGACATATTATTGTTGATGGAATTTTTCCAGTAATGTTCTTTTCTCCAAGATTTAGTTGAGTCACTACCCGGTCATCGATGCACAAAACTCCTGACCAAGTGCATGCTGAAGAATTCAAGTCCCATGACTGGAGGAACTCGGAATCCCTCCAGTGTCGTTTCAAGCTTAGTAATATGGACTGTTCCCTGACCGAAAATTGTAAGGTTTCTTGGAAAAACAGGCTAATTAGGAAGAAGATTTGCAAATTAAGCAAAAAACGGTTAGATCTTGATTGGAGCATATTAAAAATGATGCTTCCCTTGTGTTTCTTTTCATATGGTAATGAAGACTGAAGTCATTATGAATTTATAAAGAAGTCATATTTCAATGATAAAATTTGTGTGGAACACGAACGATCAAGTCAACCTAGTAGCTGACCCGTGAAACAGCAAGGAAAACAAAAGGATAATGCAACGCCATTTGGGTGGGGACTGGAATAGGATGTGTACCAATTAACAAGTCAACTTTGCTAGCATTTCTCATTCATAGTCGGTTACAGTTTTTGTCCATGTTGACTGACTTGTGTTGTATGATACACGATTGGTAATTTAAAACAAGAGATTGTAGAGAATAATGAGGTAGTTACTACTTACTAACAACAAACTCATTCAACTAACAATTCTTTTTCACCGAAAGTCACTCAATCAAGGATTTTCCTCACTTAACTTTCTTTTATAACTTCAAAATTACTTAACTAGGTATATTTCACTTAAAAAGTCACTCAACCAATTTAAATGACTTTTTAATTTAATTTTGTTCAATTATAACTTTGATCTTTAACTTTGATAGTGCATAAAGAAACACTTTAACTATCCAAAATTTAAACAAAAAAACAGTTGAATATTTCAGGCAAAACACGTGATATACAAATTCTCGATGTGGATAAGTGAACCACTCAATTGCTGCCAACTTAACTAAAATAAATACATCTAGATTTTAAAAATAATAAAAATAAATTATAATTATATATATATATATAAGAGAACCTTAGGCCTGTCTACGTGGTGCCACCACAAACCAGAATTCACTTTAAATTTATTTATTTACAAAATTAGCCTTCCCCTTTCATGAAAAGTTGTGACATTTATGAAAAGTTGTGACTTTAATGAAGAGTTGCGACTTTTACGAAGAATTGCGATTTTTATGAAAAGTTGTGACTTTTATGAAAGTTACGACTTTTAGAAAAAGTTGTGACTTTTATTAAAGGTTTTGACCTTTATGAAGAATTGCAACTTTTCCAAATAGTTGTAACCTTTCCGATAAGGCACAATAACATTTGTTCACACTACCATTTGTTGTCTATAAATAGAGAGATTTCCTCTCATTTTAAAACAATGAAAATTCTGAACTCTTCTTTTTCTTCACAATTAAATATTTGTGTACTTTACTCATGTTGAGTGGCACAGTGACACCATTGCTTATGTTATTAAAGATAAATAATAAGATGTAATAATTTTCATTTTTCTTTACATTATTAATCTTTTATGTGAGATAATATAGTGTTTTACTTTTAGTGACGGATAGACTTTAAGTATTATTTTATATATTTCGTGATATTAAATTTCCACGCGAAGCGCGATTAATTTTACTAGTATAGAATAAGAGGAAAGTGAAAACAAATCCAATTTTAGGAAAAAGATTACTACGCTCTTCTCCTCTTTCTTCTCAAAAAAACCCTAATCTAAATTTTTAAAATTCATGCCCTTATATTCCAATCAAAGGAAAAATTGTTCAAGATATGTGCTGAAATTTCATATACTAGAACGACTACCAATTCTTCTTCCTCAATTTAGCGAAGATATCAAGGTTCAACACTTTACAAACAAGAATTTGCATATTATTGGTGAGATGCTCAAGTCAATATGGAAATCACTAGAGAAAACTAATGTTTTTGTTGCAAAATTATTTCAGAGCAGCCCATACATATGGAAAGACATGAGAATCAATGAACTTTTACTTATTTTCTTTAGTTTGAAGTGTCTTTGTGCTTTAAGTTGTCAAATACTAATGAAAAAACAGGATACTTTGTGTATTGTGATTGTCATAGTAGCAAATTACAATTATGAATTTTTGGAGGCCAAAAAATAAACCTAGAGTGCTAAAAATTATTAAGTAAAATGGTGCACTTTAACTGTTTGATAAATTGTCTGAATGAATTTTTCAGAGATTTTTGTTAAGTTTGAGTAGCAATCTGATACCTATTCAAAATGTAAGGAGTCTCATAAGTATGGATTGGACTCGTTGATTGAGAGTCTTCGGAATAGCTATTACTGCTTCAGCACATTGTGTCTTGGAATGGTGTACTAGACTGCAAATTGCAGTTGGTGCTGCCCGAGGCCTATGTTACATGCATCACGAGTGCTCCCCGCCAATCATTCATCGTGACATAAGTGTAGTAATATCCTTTTAGACCATGAACTGAATGTGCGATTTTGGCTAAGTAGGGAGAGACAGAGACTGCTTCTGCTATCGCTGGCACGTTTGGTTACCTAGCTCCAGGTATATTTCACTGTTCTCATATTGAAATAAACAACAACACACCAGAGTGTACGCATGTATTGTGTTTCTAATTGATTTTATCCTAATACCTGGTTATTCTAATTGGAATTTCAGAGTATGCATACACGTTGAAAGTGAATGACAAGATTGATGTCTACAGCTTTGGTGTGGTGTTATTGGAGCTGGTTACCGGGAGAGAACCAATTAATGGAGACGAGCATATAAACCTTGCACAATGGGCATGGAACCACCATGAAGAAGGCAATCTAGTGGTTGATGCTATTGATGAAGAAATCAAGGAAGCATGTTTCTTGAACGAAATGAGTTCCATGTTCAAGTTGGGGCTTATTTGGACCAGTACTATCCCTTCTGCTAGGTCTTCCATGAAAGAAGTCTTGCAAATTCTATTACTTAGCCTTACTACTTCTTCCTAGCAAATTCTTAGTAGTAAGCTTAGCTAGGACGTCTGCAACTTGATTTGTTTCTCTGTAGCACGAGCAGTTGTTAGCTGTAGCCTGTAACATTTGCTTGGTTCATCATTTGGGAAAAGTCTTCAATGATATTCTTCACCTTGAAGTTGGCAGTCTTATTATATCTTTTGATATGTTGATAACCAAAAGTGAATCCAGTTCAATGGTGAAACCACTGCACCAGTCAATACCAAAAAATGTTGCTTGAGCTTCTGCAGTGTTGTTGCTGCCACATTTAACAGGGATTTGACGTCTTTCTTGATCCTGTACCCTCATTAGCCCGCCCTCCATCGGGGGCATCATATACACCCTCTCCCCTTAGGACTCGGGGCTCCTCACTTTCTTTGCCTAAGATGTCATGTTCACCTGTTAGATATCTTGAAGAACAGTGCCTTTTGATCAGGAATGTTCTAGATGTAAAGAAGAAGAATTAGAGAGAATGAGAAATGAACTTCATTGATTGACAAATGAATCAGTATTATGTTACATTTATACAGACTAACAAGCAGAAATATTGTTGTAACTAATCTAACTGACCTTTTACTAACTAACCCTCTAAGTTTTATTAATTACATACAAACCCTTACTAATTACATGTAGGTCCTAGTTGTTCTATGTAATCCCTTCTTCAATACTCCCCTCAAGTTTGAAGGTATGAACAAATTTAATAAGCCAAACTAGGACAATAAGTATTCATGTTGAGACTTCCCTAAGTCCTTTAGTTAATATATCATGTTCTTGCTCCTTTGTATTCAAATACTTTGTTTGCACTAATCTTTCTATATTTTCTCCCTTATGAAGTGGCAATCCAATTCAATGTGTTTTGTTCTTTCATGAAGAACTGGTTTTGCGACAATTTGGATTGCTGACTTGCTATCACTGTGAATAATGACAAGAGTTTTAACATCAACACCAAGTTCTTTGAATAACCTCACTATCCAAACAATTTCAGCTACAACACTTGCCATGCCCCTATATTCTGCTTCAGCTGAACTTCTAAATATTGTTCCTTGTTTCTTTGACTTCCATGATATTAGTGAATCTCCCAGCTTCACCATAAATCTGATCTTCTAGTATGTAGACGTGCTCCCCAGTCTGAATCACATAGTATACATTCAGCTGACTGTTTTTCTTGCTAGATAACAAGACACTTAACACAACTTGCCCTCTTATGAATCTCACAACTTTGAGTGCAGCATTAAGATGAGACTGCTTAGGTTGGTGAAGAAATTGACTCAAAGTTTGTGTAGCAAAGGCAATGTCTGGTCTTGTGACATTTAGATACAACAGTTTGCCAACTAACCTTCTATATATTGTAGCATCTTCAAGTAGTTTATCATCCTTGCCTTTTCCATTTATTTCATCATTTTCTCTGGTTGTCAACTGTACATAAAAGGAGTGGAAGCTGGTTTTGCAGCTCCAAGTTCAGCTTCAGATATAATTTCCAATGTGTACTTTCTTTGATGCATAACAATACCTGTTTGTGACCTTGCAAACTCAATCCCTAGAAAGTATCTGAGGTCTCCCAAATCCTTCATCTTGAAGGTATCTTGGAGGATCTTTTTGGTGTGTTGAATGAGTTTAAGATCATTGCCAATAATCATCATATCATTCACATATACAAGAATTAGTACTAGTGATGTACCAGTCCTTTGATGAATAGTGAATAGTCTAAGAGACTTTGAACAAATCCAAGTTTGATAAGAACTTCCGTAAGTTTTACATTCCATTGTCTAGGAGCCTGCTTCAATCCATAGAGGGATTTATTGAGCTTACATACATGTTTCTCCCCTGCACAATGAATCCCTGTGGAAGCTGAAATCCCTGAGGAAGAGTCATATAAACCTCATAAAAAAAATCTCCCTAAAGAAAAGCATTTGAGACATCCATCTGGTGAACATGCCATTGTTCAGAAGCAACTAGAGCCAACACACTCCGGATAGTGACCATTTTCACAATTGGAGAAAAAGTCTCCTGGTAATCTAAACCTTCTCTCTAATTGAACCCTTTTGCAACCAGTCTGGCTTTAAATCTCTCAACCCCACCAGAAGCTTTATACTTAATCTTGAATATCCACTTGCAACCAATAGCCTTCTTGTGAGAAGGCAAGGGAACCACTTGCCAAGTCGTATGATCCTCCAGGGCTGAGATCTCAGCCTGCATTGCCTCAACCCACCTAAGGTCCTTACAAGCTTCCTCAAAAGTGGCAGGTTCAACATCAATCCCAAAGGAAGAGAGAAAGGCCTTATAAGAGCTGGATAAATGATCATAGCCAATATACTGATCAATAGAGTATAATAGCTTGATAAGACTGAGTTGAACAGAGGCAACATAATCTTGAAGCCATAATGGAGCTCTGTTGATCTTATGAGACTGCCTCTCAACAGGAACTTCAACTACATGCACTGCAGATGACATACCTGATTCCTCTGTGGTGACTGAACCAGTATCATACCTAGTATCATGATCTGATGGTTCATGAGTAGAGGGAAAAAGTTGCCAGGAAGTAGAGTTGGGAACAACAAAAGGGAATATAGACTCTCTGAATTCAACATCCCTACTGAGGAAGAAATTTCTGTCTCTCAGGTTATACAACAAATACCCCTTTGTAAGATCACTATAACCCATATGAATACCAACCACACTTCTAGGGTGAAATTTATTAGTGATGTACATGTTTTTGGTATAACAAAGGCAACCCAAGACTCTCATATGCAAAAGAGAAGGTTTTCTCTTGTGAAACACCTCATAGGGTGATTTCCCATTTAACACAAGTGTAGACAACCTGTTGATAATGTATGCAACATTGAGAATGCATTGACCCTAAAATTTGATGGAAATATGACCCTGAAACCTAATTGCTCTTGCCACTTCATGTGTTTGTGTTTCCTCTCAACAATACCATTCTACTAGGGGTATGAATACAAGTCCTTTGATGACCAATTCCCAAGCTGGTAAGCAATTGATGACACTCAGCATTGACAAACTCTGACCCATTATTAGTTCTAATGGACTTAACAAAGTACAGTCATCCACTATGGTAACAAAAAATCTATTACAATCATATGTGGGAGTGTTGAAAGGACCCCAAATATCTATATGTAACAATTGAAAAGGAATAGAAGAAATTGAAGTGCTATGAGGAAAAAGAAGTCTAGGTTGCTTAGCTAGAGGGCAAATGGTGCAATTGTAGACAGTTGAGAGCATTTACTAGTGGGAAAAGCAAGAGTATGAGCTAAAACATTGGATGATGTGTGTCCTAGTCTTTGATGCCACAATTGATCTAAGAGTTTGTTGAAGAAGAAACAACATCAACATGTACTAGATGGGACTGACATTGTGTGTCTGTGGAGTGAGTATGAGTAGTGAGATGATAGAGCCCATCATGCTCTTTACCAATCACATTCACCTGCCCACTGAAGAGGTCCTGAATGACAACAAAGTCAGGAAAGAAAGACACAACACATTGCAGTTCTTTAGTCATTTTTGACACTGATAGTAGATTGAACTTAAACTCAGGGATAAAGAGAACATTATTGAGAGTGTCATGTTTAGTCAAACTACTTGAACTAGTGTGTGTGATATAAGTAGTGGTGCCATTTGGAAATTGTACAGTTCTAGGATTATTTGGTGAAAAAGTATTTTTCTGAACAAGCATATCAACATGTGGTGTCATGTGATTTGTGGCTCATGAGTCTATAATCTAGTCAGTGTGAGTATAATGACTTATGAGTGCAGCAGTAGTACATGCTGTGGGATATTCCTAAGCTAAATTTGCACTTGACTGGGATGTAGATGTTCCTTTGGATTTCCTTATCTTTCTTCTTCAAATTACGAGTTGAGATTTGGGGAGAGTGGATAGGACAGGGTGGTGGATGACGTAAAGGAAGGGAAGGCCCATCCCGTGCTTTCGAGCGATTCTTCCCATAAAAGACAAATCTTTTTCTTTCCGTGCCTCCCTGTACATTAGTTTGTCCAAGCATGGTTAAAATCTGGTTATATTGTTCATGTAGTACAATCATACCTCTGTGATAATTAGATTGATCAGCCTGACTAGTTCCTCTCCCATATCCTTGACTTCCACCATTATTCCATGTACTCATACCTCTGTTGTGATCCAGATCAGATCTATGGTTGTGCCCTGATTCACTAACCACACTATTAGCAGCTGGATGTTGTCTCCTTTCGTTAGGAGGTCTGCCCCTCCCAGTGTTAGTAGATAATTGTCCTTACTTCTTCCTTTCATACCCAGGGGGATATCCGTGAAGCTGATAACAAATCACCTGAGTATGACCTGTGCGTTTGCAGTGATCACAAAAGGCATTTGGATCATAGGCAGATGGTCTTGACCTAGGAACTGATTGTGTTGAATTTTGACTAGTGAACAATACAGTCAACTCAGATGAGCTAGCAGATGATTGTGAAATGGTGCGTTGACTTTTTCTTTCAATCAGCATAAAATAGGTTTTATTGAGTGATGGTAATGGCATCATCATCAGGATCTGTCCTCTAGCTTGTTCATAGGACTCATTAAGACCCATAAGGAATTACAATAATTTCTGATTGTGCACAAATATAACAAATTCCCTTGAATTTGCACAGCTGCCACAGCCACGGGCGAATTTATGTATAAAAATTGGGTCATCGGAACCCGTGGTCATCCGACTAAACTCGATATATTACTTCTATAATTATTAAATAATATATTAAATTAAAACTTGTGGAACCCGTTCTCAAGATGGCTGGATGGTTCACTGGTATGATTGCGAGATTTCAACACAAAGGTCACAGGTTCGATTCTAGCCAGCTCCAATTCGCTTCAATTTATTTTTATTAACTAAAAACACGATTTTCATTAAAAAAAAAAAACTAAATTCTGAAAGTTCTGAAGTCAAAGTCTTCAAAAGTTTCGTTCCCACCCACTTTCCAAGTTTCAACAATATTTTTCTTCTCTCTTCAAATTTATTTTTTATTTTCGGAAAGTGCTAAATGGCCAGAAAATTTGGCTAGAAAATTAAAAAAAACTATAATATATTTTAATTTAAAAATAAACTGATCTTTTTTCAATTTTTTAGTTAAAATGTATTAAAGTTAGAATG